GCTGATTTCTACATCTGCTTCATGATTGATGGATGTTCCTTCAATTTTCATAGACAGATGGATAGGATAAAATTGCTTATGGATCCAAACAGCATCCTATAGGCTTATCTAGCTGAGTACACAGTGACACAGATAACAATCTCTAAGATAGACTGAATTTGTTTGTTAAAGGGCTTTGAAAACATCTGGTCTCTTAGGGGTTTAGTCTATATGGCTTTACTTTAAAGACCACCAGGTTAAAAGCTACAGTACCTGCCATTAGATTACTTTTATCTGACTTGTCTGTTAATTCAGGGTATCATATATACTAGCACATTAAAAATAGACTAGATTTTACTCTCAGCTACTGTGTCAAAGAAGAAAAGGAAAACTCCAGGTAAATTCAAGGGATATAAAATACTAGACCTATGACTTTGTAACATGAACCTGAACTAAATAAGACATCAGGTCCAGAAACGATCTGATGCAAAGTAGGTAGCCCAATCTTTTCTTTTTAAAAAAACAGCCAAAATAAAGTAATCTGACAGGATCAAACACTTATTTTAAAAGTAGTAATGGAAACTACAGTAAGTACTGGCATTTTCATTATCAGTTACAGCAAGTATTCAGCAACCAAACCAGCCACTAATGTAAAATGGGAAACCACTAACTATCAACTTTAAAGCCACCAATGTCTTAATAAAAAGACCAACACTAGAGGTGATGACCATCAACCCTGGAAGACAAGAACCCAGACAAGCATTTGATGATCTTATAGGAAACAAAGTATCAGAAGCATCATCTTCACAATGAACTTTCTAGCTAGGAATTTTGTATTAAAGCATGGCAAAGATCAAGCCTAAGCTGGTAAAAATCCACCCCACTTCACCTCAGAAATAAGAATTTTGAATACTCTGTTACAAGAGAACATCAGAAGTACACAAAACCCCATAAACTTTCTGAAAAGTGAACAAGAAAAGGGGATCAAGGAAGAAGAAAAGGGGATCAAGGAAGAACACATCCACTCTGACCCTTGGAAAACTCAACCTTCTGGCCATTGTTCCTGTAGTACAAAAATCCATACAGATTCAGCTACCACACCTCTAGATCTCAAAGATGTAGTTTAATCACCACACTAACATAAACTTCTCACATGGCTACTGCAAACAGTGTTGTACATTATTTTAACTCCATCATTCTGAAGACTTCTCTTTCTAGTATTTCCTCTTGTATCTAGCTCAAAAGGTCAGCAGCCTAATTTGTATTTAATCTATAAAACACCAACAGATCCATCAAAAGTTTTATTTACATATCTGCAACCTGAAGCTGTAAGTACCTTCCAAACTTAACAGAACCAAGTATCTGCTGAAGGTCAAAGGGTCCTTTGGAGACCATCTAGTCAAACCTCCCTGCTCCAAGTAGGGTTGACTAAAGCTGGCTGCCACAAGACCATGTCCAGTCAGGTATTAACTATCTCCACAGATGGATAAACCACCACCTTCCCAGGCAACCTATTCCAGTGTTGGAGCATCTTCACACAAAAACATTTTTTCCCATGTTTAAATTGAACTACTTACAAATACTTTGTTATTTCAGCAACACATAAATGTTTACCAAATACTTCATCCCTAAATAAATTCACTTGAATGAGAATATCTGCATTTCACTGCAGAAGGAATTTCAGCCTACCCATGACTAAGTCAAATCCTGTATATCTAAAATTGTCTTACTCTGAAGCTTTCATGACAGAACATAAAGGAAGTATAATAGCCAAGCAGCTTTAAATTATCTTCCTGCAACACTAGAGAAATTCTCTTTACTTCCAGATCACAAGAGTTAAATTAACATGGACACTACATTGCTTTTACAGCAATATCCTAAAGCCTAACTAGCATACCAGTTCTGGTGAAAGACCAAAGCAGTTCAAAAAAAGGTTTCAGGAAAAAACAATAAAGTCTTTAGAACTTTGATCAGTTTTGGTAAAACCATATCCTTCTTGTAACTCAGGTCCATGGAAGACAAGTGGAAATCATCAGAGCATCAGAACCACCAGTAAAAAAGTACCTTTGCCTGCCCCTGAAGACTGTGAATTTTTTAAGGCTAATATTCTGGCAACAGTAGTTAACATGACTTATTAAATAGCACTTCTTTTGAAAAGAACTTCACAAACATGGACCATCTGATCTTCATGATTTTCATTTCTATGAAGCTTTAATTCCCTCTAAGGGAAAGAAGCAGTCTTAGCAATCCAATCAGAAGATCTCTCTTCATTCTTTAAAAGAACACTGGCCTAGTGCCTGATTTATTCTTAGTTGTGTCAGAGGTAACTTTCCTTTTTCTCCTCTACCGAGAAGTAAGGACGTATCCAGAGCAAATCAAATAACTAACTGAAATACCAGAAATCTGAATCTCTTTCGGCTTTATGATGGATTTTCAAAGAGAGAGCAAGACTTGTTTCTGAGCAACTGCCTCCACAGACTACCTCTTTAAACAGGAAAGCAAATCAAGTCAGGGGGATTCAGTATTAGTTCAGAAGGACTCAACAGTATTTATCCTACAGCTGTTATGTGGTATGACTGAATGTTTGCATTCCTGCCACATAACTGCTCAATAAACACATTCCCTTGTCTTATACCACATACTGCGGGTATAGGCCTCACAGAAGCACATTTTCAGAAGATTATTCTTTCATACAATGACTCCATTAAAATGTTATTTTAAACCAGTTGCAAGAAGCAACAGCTAATATTTAACATATTTTGGCATTTGACAAAAAATTTCTTACACGTTGAGGGTACTTCTCTCATGTTTACAACCCACAGCATGCTGTATCAACCAAAATATTCTTTTTTCCTCCACCAAAAAAACCTGCAAAGCACTTTTCAGATGAAACACTTTAAAGCCTACCTTTAACTTTTTCCCAAGACATAGAGAAAAGGTATACCAGCTAAGAAATCGAGGCAGGAAAATTTCTAGCGGCCAGCCTAGCAGATGCTGTTTAGACAGACATGCATTCTATTTGCTACTGCACAGAAGGAAAATCCATCAGTCCTGCTCACTGAAACTGTTAACACTACAACTAAACTACTTTGGGAAATTTTCTTGTTAACAATCAGCATATTCTGGGTCTCATTTCTATCAGGATGTGATCTAAATAATTCACAGGTAGGCAGCAATTACAGGAAACATTTATTACATGTTTCGCTTCCACCGTTGCCCTTTCTGAAGTCCTGCTATCCCTGTTTCCCTTTTGCCATTTCCTGTTGCTTGAAAACAGCAATCACAGAGCAAAAAATAAAGCAGTTTAAAGTGTAATGAAATTTAGAAAACAATTAAGATTAGAAAGCTTCTGGGAGAAAACTGCAGTGGATAGTTTAACTCAGAGTAGAGTGAAAACATATGATTTTTCCTTGTGATCCAAGGCGTAAATGAAGCATGTTACAGCAGCAATGTAGTGTGTTAAAATGGAGAGAATGCAAATAGAACCTAATGCCAAAATAGAATTCCCTCCTGCACTTGGCATGCATCTCAATACACACCAATGGAAGCAATAAAATTTTCTTCCTTTAGACTTCTTGTGTCAAACTCCCTTGGCCCTTTGCCTGCAGGGCTTGGTGGCTTTGGCGTTATCTGAGGTACCGGCAGCTGCATCGCAGGTTTTGGCTCCACTCTTGGGGATGATCCAGGATCCTTGCCAACTGGAGTGACAGATCCATCTGTTGGACTTCGTTTTCTCTTTTCTGGTTCTTTAAAAAAAAAAAGAACATGGTTGAGAGAAAATAAATAAATAAATAAATAAATAAATAAATAAATAGTTAGATAGAAAGAAACATAAGGAAAAAGGAAATGAGAGTGGGAAAAGAAAGATGAGACAGATGGTCTCACCTAAATCATTAAGCCTGGCACTGAAACAGCTCAGTGCCACATTCGTTCCCACAGGTCAACATGGTTTGCTGATAGTCTGACACACTGGTGGAAACAGTAGAGGAGAAAGCCAGAATGCTGTTTTAGGGTACTCAAATATCTCATTCCTGTATATTTGAAACCTAGGAATGTTCTCTGACACATTAACTGTATCATCTCCTCTGCCAGGTTGTGAAAAATTAAACAACTCTGCCCAAAGTGCTGAGAATATCACTTACAGAATATAAGTAAATTCCTCTCACAGCGCACAGATGACAAATACAATCACTTTCATGGGTAACATTAAAAGAAAGCAGTTAGGAAAGAGACAAAAAAAACCTATCAGCCATAGCTCTTCCATCATTCTCTGAGACTTCCTATAACCCTATGTCCCAACAGGTAGTTTGGATTATTTCTCACTATCAAATCCCACAGTTCGAATTACAGCAACACCTTCAGAATAGAATAATTAAAATCAGGTTTTCCTTTAAGAGCCTCCTGCAATCCTGCATGAACTGTTCCAATTGTTGATGAGTCTAAAAGTCAAAACTTCATACCCTAATATCTAAATCTCTCACATCACTAGACCTTGTGACACCTTTGTTCAGTAGATTAAAGATTCTGCTATCAGCAACACAGTATGCATCATATGCAAACCAAACAATTTGAGGATTACTAGTTTATTACTAGACATTAAATAACTTTAAGATAAATGCTAATCTCTATAAAAACACCTCCTTAAATAACTAGATCAACTAATTGAAAAAAAGCAAAACAGACAAAACAGCTAAAATCTGACTATAAATTTAGATGTTATGCAGTAATGAGAAAAGTCCTTCAAAGACATATCACAACTTTAAAAGTTTGCATCAATTTTTGTCTATTGTGACCTCAATTAATTTACTGGATAAAGTCTACTTATCATCAAATTATGCTATCTTTACTCTAAAACCATTGAGTTTTACATCAGCCATTCTAATTTTGCTTAGAATCAGCGTCAGACTAAAAGGTTTGAAAATACCCCAGTCAACCTACTCCCCACATTCAGAACTGTTCCACTAGCACAGCCTTCATTACCTTCCTCAGCACCCTAAAAATGATTGGAAATGAACACTTGTAAGCCGCAGGGCATATCTAAGCTAACTCATAAAAAAAATCACTGAACACCAACTATAATAAAGCATTTAGTAGATGCTACTCCTCTGCTACAATGAAATAAATTACTTTTCATCATTTGCGATTACAACCATGTCAGATATTAAGCAGATACTAAGAAGAAAAACATAAAAAATAAAGAGATATTTTCAGACTTTCCTCTTCAAGAGTTCTTGGTTGTATAAGAATTGCGTAAGGTGGTTGGTAAGATATAAGTCTCATAGGGTTCCACCTTATAAATATCTCCCTCCCTATTAAGGTTGACTGCAACAAGTTTCCAAGACAGTGTCAGTTTTAGCTGAAGGTCCCCACTCTGAGAATTTCCACTTCACCTGTAAAAGTTCCTGGTTTTGTATTTCACTGCAGTTTCCATTTTCAATCAAATACAAGTATGGCCATTATTTTGCATTGGTCCAGTTAAATGTGTGTAAAAAAGAAGAAACAGGCTTCAAGCTTTGTAAGGCTTCAGTAACAATGGTACAGTTCTCAGCACTTTGAAAGTGTTGTAAAACCCCTGAAACATCAGAAGGCACAACAGAGCTACCTTCACAATAAGGGTCTTGTTTGGTTCATAAACATGTATTCTCATAAACACTCTTCTTACCTTTATTATAATAGTGAGTATGTGCTATTTCTAGCAGGCCAAAAACACTGGCCATGCCTCCCAGGCCAGCATTTGCATATGAATGCTCCAAGCTTAAGACTGTGCACTTCAGCAAGTCCAGCATGCCTTTATAAACCTTGCGGCTGATCTCCTGCAAGGAAAATCCCATTAGTGTTTCTATTTCAGAAGTGAGAAAGTAATTCAATAACTTAAATTCCCAAACTGCTGTAACATCAGCTTTTAGAAGGCAATTAACAAAAACTTCCTACGAATTGAGCCTCAACAGACACTGAGTGTGAGGACCCTGCTGAGTTCAGCACTGACCACATCCTGTATGACATCCTGTCGAGCGTCTTCTTCTGACTGGATGGTGCGATTCAGCTTGCTTAGTACAAAGACACGGAGCTGCTCACTCTCCAGCAGACGTCGGACTCTCTTCATATTCAGCCAGCCAACACCCTGCCCATCAAGAACATTGTGTACCACCTCCTTCAAGAACTGCTGGTTCTCACTGAGAGATTTAAGAGAAAGCAAGGAAAAGTTAGCCCTCTGCTTACTTTGGCTTGCATGGGAAGAGAGGTACGGCCAGGACACACAAAAAAAATACCACTGAAATGGTTTATTGCTTAAACATTGTTAAAATCACGGAAAGGATTTTGGCCACTGAAGCAAACTGTGCAAAGAAGCAACTGCTCACAAAAGCCTGCCCCTCCCCAAATATGCCTACTAATTTGGACTATGACAGAACTTGAGATACAATAAAAGTAGTACTATTGTCCAATTATCCCAGGAGCAGAATGTATCCAGATGTGTGAAAAAGTGGGATGCTAATGGCTCAGTCAAGATGCAAACTGACAGTGTGTAAAGAAACCACCCCGGTGCTGAGGGCATGCACATCCACCACCTCAGACTACAAACCGGTTGTTAAACAAGATCAGGAGAGAGGCAAATCTGGCTAGGTGGGGTAGTGTTTCTTTGTCCTTACACAAATGACTCAGCTGGGATAACTCCCCTCTGGGGAAGCACCAGAACAACTCACACACAGCGTGAAGATAGTTCTCTCTGCTGATGGGCCATAATTGACTCACCCGTGCTGATGTAACAGGCAGCTGTAACATCTTAAAAGGTGTCAAAGACTCCTGTATTACATCCATTGTAAAACTCCCCACCCCAGGGGAGGTACCAGAGGTGTTCCCACCTCACCTAAGCCCAATAAAAGATGGCAGGAACTTCACTCAACACCTGGGACTTTCCTTACTACCCTGGGCATAATCATAGAATCAGCCAGGTTGGAAAGGACCTCTGAGATCATCAAGTCCAACACCACCACAGTTGCTAGACTGTGGCACTCAGTGCCACATCCAGTCTCTTCTTAAATACCTCCAGGGACGGAGAATCCACCACCTCCCTGGGCAGCCCATTCCAATGCCTGATTACCCTCTCCGTAAAAAATTTCTTCCTAATATCCAACCTAAACCTCTACTGGCAGAGCTCAAGACTGTGCCCTCTTGTCTTACTGATAGTTGCCTGGGAGAAGAAACCGACCCCCACCTGGCTACAACCTCCTCTCAGATAGTTGTAGCAAGTGATGAGGTCTCCCCTGAGCCTTCTCTTCTCCAGACTAAACAACCCCAGCTCCCTCAGCCTCTCCTCACAGGACTTGTGTTCCAGTTCCTTCACCAGCCTGGTTGCCCTTCTCTGGACCTGCTCCAACACCTCAATGTCCTTCCTGAACTGAGGGGCCCAGAGCTGAACACAATACTCAAGGTGTGGCCTCACGAGCGCTGAGTACAGGGGAAGGATCACTTCCCTGCTCCTGCTGGCCACACTGTTCCTGATACAGGCCAGGATGCCATTGGCCTTCTTGGCCACCTGGGCACACTGATGGCTCATGTTCAGCTTCTGTCAATCCAAACTCCCAGGTCTCTTTCTCCCTGGTTGCTCTCCAGCCACTCTGTGCCCAGCCTGTAGCACTGCAGGGGGTTGTTGTGGCCGAAGTGCAGGACCCGGCACTTGGCCTTGTTGAACTTCATCCCACTGGAGTCAGCCCAATTCTTCAGTCAGTCCAGGTCCCTCTGCAGAGCCCTTCTGCCTTCCAGCTGATTGATGCTCCCCCCCAGCTTGGTGTCATCTGCAAATTTACTAGTGGTGGAAATATGAACTTCCTTCACCACGACTGGCTTTTTCCCTTGCTACCCTGGCCTTTCCTCAATGGATCCAAACTGCAATCGTCACTTTAACAAGGCTGGCACTCTCATCACCTCATCACCCAGGAGACAACAAGAAGAGGATCTAAGGGACTCTGTCAGAATCCATGAAGTGGTGATATTTTTTTCTACTTAATCTGTCTTTTGGTCACACTCTCTTCCCCTTGCTCTCTTTTCCCTATTTCTTTCTATCTCTACCTCACATTTACTGTTGAATAAAAATCTACTGACTTTAGCATATAGTCTTGTTTGCACCTTAATTTGGGAAGAGGTATCTCTCTAATAATTTTAAAGAACCTGATCTTAACACTTGTCTCCCAAACCCAGTAGCTCAAAGTAAATTTCACTCTACCTGTGACTGCTACATAAGAATAGCAGGAGAAAGCACAGGTCAAGTAATGTTTACTTGCACCATTCTCAGTCCCTTCACAAGGCTGAGAAAATCATTTCACATGAATTCATGGAATCAAACTGCTTCATTTGACTCAGTTGATCCCCTAGTGGTGCATTAAAACTCTGCTGGCTAGATCACCTTGTCAAGAACACACTCAATTACAAAGAATAACTACTGAGTTAAAGTAGGAACCTAGAAAAATTTGGGTCTCAGACAGAAGGGGGATACATTTTGGAGCACAGAAAAGTAAGTATGTGCGCTAGTAACTGTAAGACCATCCATACAATAGTATGTCCAGGTCTAGGGCCACAGAAAAGTACTACTTAGTTTTCAACAGCTACACTTCTGAAAAAACACTGGCCAAGTATGAGGCCACTCTAACTACACTGTACACTCAAAAAGCAATATCACACTCAAACTAGCAATATTACCTGGAATTGCTAGTTCGTCCCTGAGGCGATGGAGATTCTCTCTTCACTGTTGGGCTGTGCTTTATGACTGAAGACTTTTGATCCACAAGAGCTCGTCTATTTCCTAAAGAGAAGAGGAAACAGAATGAGAGAAAGGGGTGAGAGTAAAACATTCTGATCCCAGGACAGTAACGAGCAATGCTAAAGTTGGCTAACACACCTATTTGAATCACAGGTAACAGACTTCAAACAAAATGGAAACTCCAAAAAAAGCAGCAGCATATATCGTATTCTAGCATCACACATCGGCAGAAAACAGTAATGGGAGTAATGCAGAGAGAAAAAGAGAAGATGGTAATGGGAGCAGGAGGTGAAAGGCAGGAAAAGTTTGGCTGCTCTGCATGCAGTTCCACAACAAGAACCATCTTCAAATTAGTCACTATATGTAAAAGCATAATGCATTGAGGGTGACTAGTGTAGATCATGTGGTACTGGTTACCCAGCGAGAAAGGTAGCCCAAAGTCAGGCATAGGGAATGCTGGAAACTGTTACATCATGCACAGCTCATGCTGTAGGGAACCCACCTTCATTGCTTACTGGGCCAGCTTCAGTAATAATCTCCATTATAGTTTTTACCCCAAATACTGGGACACAAAATATACAATTAGTAGTGTACTACAATACCTACACGCCCCACTGTCAGCATCAAAAGAATCCAGCTACCAGCTTCTGCCCAGCCCTCCCTCAAAACCCCAGATGACACTAGAGCAGAAAGGATGCTTGAAAGCCAAGACCACAAGGGCCAGAATAACTTTTCTTAAGAGATAGTGCTTGACTTGAAATTTGGCATCGTGGAACCAATGTATTGCATCTTCAAGGACATTACTGCACATATTGTGTTTGAATGGCACTATGAAAAACATCTGCATTACCAAAGAAAAAATATTAATGGATGCGCGTGAAATAAAAATTAAAAAGGAGGATGGAAAGTGGTCAAACAGCAGCAATGAGATGGAGTCCCAGCATCATTTCCCATTACAGTTAGAAACACACACTTGGCAAGAACAGTGCAGCAATTTTATATCTGTACAACAGAAACAAAAACATTTAAAAACCACTGAAGTGCCCGGTGGGAATCCCAGTGAGCCAGCATGCACATGTAAATGAACACAAACACACGCACACACACACACAACCTTGCACATGCATTAAAGAGATTAAGCTACTCCACGGAAATCCCATCCTCATATCTGCATAGTAACTTTAAAGGTCCTACAGGATTAAAATAGTCAAGAAAAGAACACCAAAGTGCAGAAGATGAGGCACAAAGCATGAACGTGGAATGGCAAACCCCATCACTGTTTTCTTCCAATGCATGGAATCAGTCATTAAGTTTACTCAAGGAAATAACCCTGACATGAAGCATGTTTCTTATCCAGCACAACTGGACATAAAAACATAACCAACTGGTAAAAGGTTGTCAAAAACAGCTGTGCAGAGTCTCTGCTAGTGTTTTCACCCTACCAGTCCTGTTACTCCTCATTTTACATATAAGGAACGATTACTTGTCTCAAAAACAAAGTCCAAAACAGAAACACAAAATCCAGCTTTTGGTCTTTGTTTCTACAAGGTCAAAGGTCAGCAAAATATCATACCAACCTTCATCCACATCCCTTCCCAATTCCAGATTAAAGTAATCTTTACCGATAAAAGTGATGAGGAGGAAAAAATAAATGAAAAAAATCAACATATTAAAACAAAAGCAGTACGTTCTAATCAGATAGAGTAACTCAAAAGGCAAAATAAAATCTCTCCCCAGTTTAGCATCTGAAAAGATCTCAGCACTCAGGCACCAGGACATGCTCAGTCACCTTGTGTTATTACAGCTGGTACAAGGGTGACCAGGCTGTCTAACTCCCCATGGTAAGAGGGTCATTTCTCTAGTGCCCATTCAGGCATATTAACTAGTGATACTGCAGACAAACAGGAGGTGTTCTAATGAAAAGATTGTGCACATGTGCTAGGGATCGATCTTCACTCTGAGAGAGCTGAAGTATGGTTATAATTCGATTTTCTATGCAGTGATCTGAAAAGACTACAAACACTTTGGAAATTCACGTAAACTGTAGTCTCCATGGGAGGACGGCATTATCCCCACTTACAAAGGCAGCATCATTGCTCTAATAAATTACCTAAGGCTAGTCATGAAGATACTGGCAGCACAAAAGTAGAACCTACTTCTTGGTTCCCATTCTTTACACTAAGTACTTAAAAATAAAACAAAACAAACCCAACATTCATAATGTATCCGTTAACTCAGGCTAGACCAGACGCTCTCCCATCCCAACACAGCCCAGTTGTTAGGAAGAAGACTGACTGAGAAATATCAAGACAATTTACTGTCTTGATCCTTAAGACAGGTACTACCCAAACAACAAAAATGCATCACCCCCAGGATTCCTGTTAGGGGTAAGATCTCAGACTTCCAAGTCACAAGAACAGTAAAGGCTATGGAAGACAAAGGGAAAAATGGTTACCTTTTAGGCTGGGAAAAGGAGTATTCTTGTCTCTCCCAACTTTTGTTGGTAGGGCTAAGTTGGATAGACTAAAACTTGTGCTGTGGTTTCTGTACAAGCTGCCTAAGACAGAAGAAGAAAACAATTAAATGCCTAGTGCTCACTGCACACACACAATTTTCCATAATTCACCATCTTATTCCAGATCCTAAATGATTAAGTTTTTCTTTATTACCCAAAAGTCTCACAAGCAAAACATGATCTCATTTACATTGCAACCAAATTTGTAACCAGATTATTCCAAATTGTACAAAAACATAAGTTTTAGCTTTTATGTCACAATAATTGCTGTTGGATCTTTGAGTCTTAAATGTAACAGCAATGTCCAACTCTCCTCCTGCACTTAAACAGGTAACATCACTTCAGCCATATCTTCTAGTTTGATCTTTTCTGGGAGCAAAGGAATGACTGGGCCACATGAGAAAACAGGATGACAGAAGATCTCCAAACCATGTACCTCTGAAGTGAGGACTGTGCACTGTGTCTTGTGAAACACTGTAAATCTGCCACAGAACCATGCTTTGAAATAGAAGCTTTTCATTTACTGGGAAAAAATGTATGTTCTACCTGGTATAGACAAATTTTAAGAACAAAATAATGCATCACCATCTGGTTAAGCCTCTAGGCAGCCTGAAAGCATCACATCTAGATCACGGAGCTGATTAACACTTCAAGTTATTTATTTAAAATGTCAGCACGCTGTTTCAATTTGCTTTGGTTCTTTATTTTTTTCTTTTTTTTGCAGCCTTATTTTAGTAACAGTCATTTTACCAGAACATCCAATATATTTTCCCCACTGCTGCAAACTTCTTTCACTGCTCCCCCCATACAGTGCAAGACTCAACTGGCCATGTCCTCTTACTAAGAAATCCTAAATTAGTTTTACATGTCTGGGGGTTTTTTATTAAAATATAATTGAAAGTAGATGAGCACATTCAGGAAATTGAATTTGGCACCTAAACACACAATGTGGCAGCATGGAAGGCATAACACTCTAAGATTTTTGTATCAACTTCATGAAATTGTATGATGCTTTGTTCGAATGAAACCGAAAGAATTTCTCATCTTTCCCTTAAAGTGCCACAACTCAAGGGGCTAACCACATAAACAAAGTACTTCTTACTTACTTTATGGAAAAATCATAAAGCAGTAGTTGTCAGCAGTGTGACATAAATAGGTCTGTGGCTCTCCACATGACTTCTGGAGAGTTGGTAACAATTCGACAACCAAGTCATTCTCTTGACTAGCAATCCCTCTATTCCACCTCTCTGTAAGCTCTAATATAATAAATAAAAGTAGCTTAATGAATGCACTTGTACATACTTGCAAAAGACATGATGCCCCCAAAACCTTCACTGCTGTTGTTGGAGACAGTAGAGTTTGGGGAGCTGGCCCTGGAATCTGAATCTGCATCAGAATCACTGGCCAGTTTTAAACTGTTTGGCCGGAGTAACTTCTGAGACCTTTAAAGAAATGAAGTAAAACCGTTATCAGCATTTCCCTCTCCCATCCCAAAACAACACATTGTATGACTGTGGGAGACTGACGTTGGTCTCATTCCCCATCAGTTTTCACTACACTATCTGTACCTTTTGGGAAAGAAAAGAAAAGAAAAAGAAGAGAAAGAAAAAATAAGAGAATTGAACATCTTTGCATTCAGGCTTGTATTGCCTTTCAGGGCATGCTGAAAACTTGTCTGCAAAAAGGCATTGGTGGATTTGGGGGTGAAATGGTTCTGCTTTGAAAGCAGTAACAAGAAAACCCATTGGCATCAATCACTACACTATCTTTCCCCCAAAAGACAAAGCTTCACCAAAAAAAATTGCTCAACAGTTTTCAGAAATCAGTAGGTGATACGCTAGAACGTTCTACAAAGAACTGATAATTCTCATAGCTCCTACTGCTTACATAAAAGCAAAGAACTGAGGGAACTGAGGAAGCACTTTTACTCAAACCAGAAGGGTCGACAGCATTTCAGTATTAGATTAGGGTGATCAACAATACACTTCAGGTGCAAAAGACATTTGAATGAATGCTAAACTACATGAAGGAGATAGAAAACCCAGAAGTGCTGTACGGAAGGTCAGAAGACAAGGAGGACTCACTTGCTTCCATTGAGATTCTGGTTAAATCTTGGGGTGTAGCTTTCTTCCTGCTCATCATCTTCATCCTCTGTAGGAAAACCATACTGTGGCTCAAAGTATGGATTGTCATACTCTCGCTTCCTCACCACCCCTTCTGAGGAGCTCATGCTGCCAGCGGTGATGTCACTCTCACGACGATCCAAGCTTATCTTGGGAAAGTTTGGTTGCAGTGACAAGGAAGGGAGGTGGTTTGAAAATCCAGCAGCCAACTTCTCTTCTATTTCTGCTGAGTCTGCTGCCTCCTGTGGACCAGTCAAATCATTGATCTGTTCGCTAATTTGCATTACATACAACTGAAGGGCAGGACAAGAACAATTATTTCAAACTGCGAAGTCTGCAAAGTCCCTGATGCTTGCTACTGGGCCCCCACCCCATCCTCACTATCTGTGCCTCTAAGTTAAGACTTTATATATACTGCAGTATTTGTGCATTGTTCTAGGGACATAATCCCCTGTAAACCAGATCTTAATAATAAATGTTAGCTCAGGATAATGGTTTTCCACTACCATGTTTTGTGGTTATGCAAGCAATTCCCATTCTTCTCAATCAACCACAGATTTGTTAAGTTTCCCCACACCACTCTGTTCTTCTAAACACATCTGGTCTTTCCAGACTCTGTAAAAGGAATTCCTGTAGTCACAACCTGGACCACTTCTCTCTGCTAATGCTGCATTTTTCAATGCATTGGAAATTTTTGTACAGGAATGGTCTATCTCAGCACAAGAAGGTACCAGCAAACTCCACCTTGCTCACAAAGTCCAGGGAAAGCATGCAATTTAATCTGTGCATGGTTTCACAGTCCTATTAGCTTTTGCCTTTCTCAGAAAGAACCATATGCATTCTCCCATTCTTTATCTCCTAATACGCTGATCTTGAGGCTGAACTCATCTCAGTACACACATGATTCGCTCCATGGATGACAGTGCTGGGGCTGCTACTGGCTGTAGTACTGGAACTTGAACGAGGCTGGTTGTTCTCTTGGGAGTTCTCACTGTCCATCGTCTGTTCATCCATATCCCCTGAATATTCTTGAAAATCATCAAATTCCACTTCACTAGCATCACCAAGGGCTGCATGAGTCAGGGGGTCAACATCTGCAAACACATTAGTTTTCATTAAACAATACTGCCTTCCTCAGCCTTTTGCCTGACTAACTAGAGATCCTTAGCAGATGAGTACTGCTCAGCAGAATAAACTTGCACAAAAATTTAGGTTGTAAAGGGCTTTTGGAGGTAACCTATTCCAACTCTCTCCTCAAAGCAGAGGTTAACTTCAAAATTAAAGTAGGTTTCTCAGGGCTTTGTCTCACTGAGTTTTGAAAGTTTTCAAGGCTTGACATTCTACGGTGATCCTGGGAACCTATTTAACTGCAGTAAGCATGAAGTTCTTTTCCTTATGTCCAAGCAGAGTTTCTTTTGTTGCAGCTTATGATTATTTACCTCCTGTCTTTGGGACCTAAGAAATGTTTTGGCACTCCTAGATTTTTATTGAAGAAAGTGAGAGTTTATGGAGTTTCCAGACAAGCCACAGAGAACACATTTTTTTGCTCCCTTCAGGATAGAGTGATACATTAAAGGCAGGACTGACAACCAATAAGCAGGGACAGGAAACAGCTCACACTCTGCTGCCCATATTACACAGCATTTACTGGAAAAAGCAGGTTGTTTCCAGTTCTAGTGAGACAGCACCTCTTTCTGTTCTTCCTCCTCACTGTGTCCTTTGGAGGGCATTGTTTCTAAGCAGGAGAAATGTCCTTTTTCAGCCTACCCCTAGATATTGAAGGAGTATAGCACATACTTTTACCTCAGAGCAAGACCTCAGTGGAACAATACTTTGTTCTGATTCAAGGACTTAGGGGAGGCATTTTTCCCAAAGTGCAGATGAATGGTGAAAGGGAACCCATGTGGACCTCGTGAAAATAAAGCTCAAAGTTACTCACTTGGGGTATCACCATTAATGTCACATTTCATCATCTCACTGACAAAGTCACCAAGGGAGGAGTAGGAGGAACTTGAGTCGTCATAGTCGACACTGTCACTGCCACTGCCGCAAGAAGTGAGAGAGAGATGAGTGGCAGCATAAAAGCAACAGCAGGGCCTCACTTTTAAAGATGTGAATTGGCACTGTCTTCATGGATAAATCTCATATTATAATAGCTACAGGCAAATTTCACAAGCCAGCTTCATGAAAGGTCAGAGGATAAAACATAACTTTCAGGTACATGAAGAGATATGGGATTTAAAGCCTCTTAGCAAAGTTAACGAGGCCATGTATAAGTGAGCAGAGAATAGTGTATTAATTCACAAAATATGTATGGGTTTATCTAGGCCAACTTCAAGAGAACTGGAAATCACAAGTGAAAGCATTTCCTTTTTACACTAATGATAAAAGCCACTCTGTTAGCACCACTGGTGCTGTGTAGAATGTAAAATATGTGCAAGTCCAAGCCTGAAAGACCTCACAGACTAGCATGGAATGAAGGATAATAAAACAAGACACAAAACTCTAGGAAATATGGCCAAAAACTACTATAACAAAAACGTTTCCTTCAATTTTACTGAACTCACAGGGAGCTCCCAGGCAGTGGGCAGTACTAACAAACTTTGCACAACTATGGGTAGGGAATAGAGATTTGAAAGAGTGGCAGGACGGGTTGGGAGTATTTGTAGTACTGCAATAGAAATAACCACAAAAGGAACAGCATGGAAGAAAAAAATATTAGGGTGTGAGGAAATGCCAAATGTCAAGTGGCAGACAGGCAGCAAAAGAAAACAAGAAAATACTTATGGAGAACCACTCTAAATTATGACAATAACAGTGGGTTAGGAGGTTTGTTGTGATAGCAGAGCAGTGCAAAAATTTACTTCAGTGTCAGTACTCTGCCCAGACAGAAGAAGTTAAACAGCAACCTGGCAGGCTACAGGAAAAGGCTGCAAATGTGAAATAGGAGGAGAGGTTCAGCATCTTGAAGTAACTATCGTGTGTTCTAGGACCATGTTCCCTACTAACCTGTCATCGGTGGGATCAGAATCTGTTTCTTTCTCTGCTGGGACATTCAGTGCTTCAGCCAGCTGTGAATTACTGTCATAGACTCGATAGTGGATCGGCTGCAGCTGGTGAGCATACCACTTGGGTTTGTCACCAATCAGGGCTGGGTCAAACATGTCTGCACAAAACACAAGGAGAGCATTAACTGAACTAATTTATTGGTGTCAAGGGTTTCATTCACAGTGAAACTACCCTTTACTGACTCTTGCACAAAGAAAGGGACAGTCTCTACTCTAAGAAGCCTACAAGACTTCTCTGTAATCAAATAAGATAAAAGCTAAAATTAATTGGAGGAGTGAGTGGCAAACAGCAGAGCTAACTTGGTAGAAACATGAGTACACATGTAAAAATAGTAAAATATTCTTTGAACTGAATTTCCCTCCCCATCAGGAATAATATGGTACAAAACTAAGTCCTTCCCTAGAATCTCTTTGCATTTTAAGTTCCTGCACTACATCCAAGTGCAGGAGAGAGGAGACCAAAACTTACTGTTATGAATTCTTTGGAAAGCATAGTTAGTAGGGTTGAGGGACCACTCTCCAAAGTATTCTACTGCCTGTGTTCTGGAGAGCTTATCTGCAAAAGGTGTTTGCTTCGGTCTAGAGGCAAGAAAAGAATTTGCCTGGAAGGCCACCACTGGTCGTGGGAAGAGACGAAGAGTGCGAGTATGCATTTGGAAGCCTTGCAAAACATTTGGCGAGTTGAAGAATCTCACCATAGCAACTCTAAAAAGAAACAGAGAACAGTATATCAGATAAAAACACAGAGCATAACAGAAAAGAAGCCTTTAAAAAGTATGCAATAGGCAATGTTTCAAACCTTTGAAGAATGGTAACCTAAGTCTTCTTAGAAAACAGTTATTTTGAAAAAAATAAAAGCAAAAAAAAACAAACCAAGACCCAAGGAATCACTTTGTTCTAATTCACCACGTAGTTCACCAACACAAAGATCCACTCAGAGAAGGATATAATTCTCATATCCACTAGCTGAGGTGACAACTAAGTATCCAGGGGATACAATATCAGACTGACAAATCCAGGTAAAGTGGATGATCTATAGGAAAATGCAAGAAACAAAACACCCCCTCAAGATACACAGTTATGTTCATGCAGTTAACAGATCTGAGATAAACACTGTAATTTCTGCTCTTTCCCCCCCCATGACGTGAAGTAGAATCTGCAGTAGAAGCTGGAAGATGCTGTGTCACCCACAGAAGTGTCAGTGCTTTTTTATGAAGACTCAGTGGTACCTTGCTGTTCAGCCTCACCTGGTAGCCACATCAACAGAGTCCACATCATTTCCATAGATCAGGGGGTTGAATTCTGTGGAGGGAGTAGACTGCAAATCATTCTGTGGTCTTCCCAGCAGCAGTGGCACCTCCTGCCCCTCCTGGAACTTCTCTAGATTAAGAATGGGCTGAGTATTCAGACTCATGCTGGCCAAGGCCTAATGAAGGACATTATGCACACATTCAGCAAGAACAGTTATTCAAGGAACAAAAGAGAGATCAGAGCTACCCTGCCCTCTAGGCAATTGCAACAATTGTGCATGCTCCATTAACTTGTTTTAAACCACCTCCTAGGCTGAGTCAACAAATATCTCCAGGTCCTCCTTTATGTTTATTGTCATAATGATCTCTTCACTGCTCAAACAGTCCCTGAGCCAGCCAAGGAATAGCACAGAAGTTCACTTTGCGAGATCATTCATGACACGAAAACAGATAGTCCAAATCGGACCACAAGTAGTATGGCTCTGCATACAACTTATTGTAGAGTTATTTCCCTGTGCAATTTGAATACATCCTGGGACCTAAAGGCCTTGAAACTTGCCTTGCAACTTGGCCATTCAGCCAATGAGTTTGATATACCAGGACAATGTGGAGACACCTTAATACAAACATCTTCCTGTACCCCTGCAAACCTCCACTTTCCATCTAATTGAAGTCTTCATCTCTCCATAAAGCTACCATCCTCTTCAACCCTCATAAAGTCTTCAGGGATATGTGCTAGAGCAGCACAAGTGGTAAATCAGTCCTGGACGCCCAGACCTATCCTAAATCTTCCTCATGTATCCCATTTGCCCACTGAGGCTTCATCTTTTCATTAAAAAAAATATACATAAAACCAAACTAAACAAACAAACAAATAAACCTCCAAAGGAAAAGTGTAAAATGGAAAATTGAGGGGAAAAGAATAAAATAAAGAACCTTGTTGTCAGGAGTGAGCAGCTGTTTCTGAGTGATTGCAGTCATGCTAACCAGACACTGGAGGCAAGATGGAAGATCATATAATAACACCACAGCAGCCCATCAGAGCCAAGACGAACACATGACCACAGAGAAACAGATGGAAGGAAAAAAAAAAATCTATTACTACCAAATATCACAAATGAGAGGAAACAAAAGGGACCACAAAATAAGCACATCTTAGGGAAGAGGTCTAACTGCCCCACCCCCAAACATTCACATCTTGCCACTTTGGAAACTGGAAAGCCTGCTGTCCTTAATGATGCAGCTAAGAACTTCCTACTACAGTTTAAAAGCAGATATCCCGAAATTCACTCATTGACCTTAGTTATGTGGGCCACAATTTTGTCTTGTCTACTTCGTACAGCAACCAGCAGCACTCCTTCTTCTTTGTCAGTGGTAAACTCTTAATGATAATGCCCACAGGAATACATAGGGATGCAAGCTGCATTTGGGTGAACACTGAGAATTTTAAATATGGCTTCAAAAAAACTGTAATTTGTTCTTCTGATACCCAACTTTGCCCTAGTGAGAGAGTTTTGCTAAACAGTGCCTGAAATTGCAAGGGGGTGAGGCAGCAGGTGGGGGGAAGGTTGTTCTAACAAAACTCCAGGCAACAACACATCACTTCCATCTGTGCTGACAGCAGGTACTGGGGTATGACAGAGGTTACACGTTTTGCTCTCATGGTCTACAAGGAAAGAGGAAGAGCAAACCTCATCACATTAGTAACACCTTTACCTTCAGATACTGCATGCAGCGTGCATAAGGAAAACAGAAATAAAGAGATAAAACCTGCTTGACACGATCAGCCAGGATGACCCAAGCTGATTAATGGCTTAGCAGGACCTGAGAGGAGAGACTGAGACCTCACACACAGATCTGTGAATGGAGGGGAAACAAAGATGATCATAGCTTGATGGATCAAGTCAGAGTTTAAAGCCCACATGGCAAATGTAAAGGAGGAATCTGGAACTTTCTGCACCAACTGGAAATAAGTTAGCCCCAGAAAAACAGTAAAAATCAGAAACTATCTCTCATGTACAGGGCCATTTCAGCTTTACGTTTGCATTGCATTCTTATCCACTATAGCAGAAAAGCTGCACAAGACTATATCTGCTGAGTTCTACTGAACCTGAGTCCTTTCCTCAAAGTGCATATTACCTGTTTCAGATGCTTTTTCAGCTCTGAAGCTTCTGGTTCTGGCAGTGCTGGCAAAGATTCCGCATTTGGGGGAACAATAACCTGGAATTAAGCACAGCAACAAACTAAAAATTCCCCATCTGCAGTCATTTCCAAAACAGAATCTCCTGAATCTCCACCACCCTAGAGACCAAGGAATAAAAGTCATAAAGTAAAATATTTAATAATTAAAAAACCACAATCTCACACACAGAGAGATGCATTTCACTTTGATGTTCACTTCTTTATGGTTGTTTTTGTTTACAATATCCCAAACAGTGGAGTTACTTTATCATTTACCACAGAAAAAGAGAAGTTTGAATGAATCCACACTTTCCATCAAGTAGATGGTGGTTTACACATTTCCCTTCAATTAGCCTTGCTCATACCTCTGTAGAAAGCGAGATACATAGCCCCATTTGAATCATGATAACCAAGGCTGCTAGAAGGCTCTGAACAGATTGGATTACTTAGGTAGGACTATAAGAGACAGTCTCACAATTAGTCAAGAAGAAAGCTTTATAATTTGTTTGAGGATTTATCTTCTAAGGATATAGCCAGATGGATTAACTGAAAAAGGATACTTTATGCAAAAGAAATGGGAACCTTAAGACACAGTAAGGAATGGAACCCCAAAGTTTCATATGGGAGTGGCAAAGACAGACCAAGGGTAGGCATTATTAAATTCTCAGTAGGTACATTGATGAAAGTACACAGCTCCCTGGAAACAAAGCCACAAGTCCTGATGGGTACCACTTACCCTGTTGGTATCCAGGTCAATTAGCCAAACATCATCAGGCATTTTAAAATCCAGTTTGTAAAGGAAGAAACTTGCTGGAACACCAATGATATAAGGTGTAGGGGCTAGAAGCAACTGAGAGAAAGACGGACTTTACTAAGGACAAGATCTGCATTTGATATTACCATTCTTCCCAAATATTTATTTATTGACTACACTATGCTTATAGCAGAGTAGACAACACAAAAGGCATTGATAAATAAGTAATAAATATCATACAATAGAAGCATTACCAAAAAAAAAAAAAAGAATTGAAGTTTCTGCTCAGAAAGCTTCAATGTTCAACTAGAAGAAAATACATTTCCACCTCCCATGTCCCCCTCCTCCCCAGGATGTAACTACATGGCTCTTCGGAAACAGCTTGCCACATCTATCATGGACCAAAAAAAAAAAAGTTCAAGAGCTTAACTTGAAAAGCAGCAAGTCACAGATTAATACATCCTCAGCTCAGACTGAGTCTGTGCCATTGTAAACAGGCACAAACTATATGCAAGGGCATATGCTTGTAGTGCTAATTTGGTTTCCAAAAAATAACACCTCTACAAAGTAGAAGATAAACGTATTTTTTCAAATGTATGTGGAAAAACTTAGGGGAAATTCAGGAAAAAAGTGAATCAGCAGAGGAAAAAGGTTTAAATCAATTACGCGTGTAGCAGCTTGAGACCAGTGCCTTGGGAGGCTAATTTGTTCTTTAAATCTAGAACAGTTGGTCATCTCCAAGGGGTGGTACAAGCACAAACCTGCAGTATCAGTTGCAGGATAATACTGAAGTAATAAGATGGCCTGAATTCTATTTTTCCAAGCAAAATCATGAGCTCCGGCAAAGAGCCAACTACTGGCAAAACCCAGATTCCCAGCTGATATTTCTGAAAAGATTAAATTGCAGACAATAGCTTCTAAGCTCTGAATCAAGAGCCCTCAAACATCCTTAAATATTACTCTGGACCCTCTCCTACAAACATTAATACTCGGTGGGGGAAAGTGGGGCTGGTGGGGGGTGGTGGTGAATACTTGTCATAATATTGTGGATCTATGGCCACTCAGTCCATCGACTGTTTGCTACTGCTTTGAATCATTCTATTCTATGAGAGAGCGAAAAAGGAAAAACATGTACCTGTTCTGCAGAGGCCATGCAGGTGGGAAGCAGAGGGATCACCGGGAACATGTACTCTAATGGGTAGATCATGGCCACAAAGGCCATCACTGACATTGAAAGCGCATTATAATCTCGGGACTGCAATACAACCTGCAACCAAAGAAACTCCCATTAGCACAGCAGCAACCATTCACTTCTAATACTTCCCTCAGGGGTACACAAGGATCACAGCCTGCAGGCTCCAATTCAATGGCTGTGAACTGGGTAACTCCCCATGAATCTGTCTGAACACAAGCTTCACATGCTTTTTTGAGTGAGAACAGAAGTTTTCAAACCAGGAACTTCAGAAGAAGCTATTTCTTCCCCCTACTCCCACAGACAAATTGATTCCAGGCAGTGCAGGGAGACAGGGAGACTATTCTACACATCCAGCCTATGTTGGTTTTGAAGAGGACAGAGCTTCCTACATACTTATCTACTCTTCCCTTCTTACCTTGTGCTCCAGAAGGATGCAGGTCAGCACCTGCAGGCAGGCATCCACTCCCAGCAACTCCAAAGGCAGATGTAATGGAAAATCCACCAAAGTGAAGCGGGATGGATCAGGCAGAGCAAAGGTCAAAGCTGGCTGCAACTCATGGGGCAAGACTTCCACATCCACCCGCTTCTGACCAGCAACGGGCATTGGTGACCGGAGCAGACGGTATATCCAAGCCTCAATCTCCCGCAAGTCATGTAGCAATGCACTAGACTTTTCTTCCACCAGGAGGGAGCCTGTGAAAATCCGCCACATTGTATCCCTGTACAAGGAGAACAACAAGGTTGAGACTCCTAGAGTTTCATTTGACAGCCATTCTGCAAGGCTCTTCCAGAGAAAGGGCAGATCCACCAAGAACTAAAAGGGGCAACTAACCAACATTTGATCACACAGAGGAATGGAAGACAGGGATATAAGTTTACTAACACAACCACTGTGGGGAAGTATAAATCTTTCTGTGGCAGGAATCAATACAAATATGTCACTAGAGAGTTCATTCATTCATTTAAAGGATTCAGTCAGGTCCAGATCTCTGATAAAATCTCATTGCCCTCTCCTTCACTTCAAATTCAGCAGACACATGGGATACTTTCCTATCTCATACAGAATTGTGGCAGACTGACTGTATGGCTCTGCTTCCAGCAGTCCTAGAAACCTTTGCAAGAATGGGAATTAAACATGAGATAATAAAAATATGCCACACCCAAGATCTTCCAGATCTTTTGGCATAATAAAATATTCTTCTTCATCTTATCCTAAATTGTGCTGCATCATTCTTAAGAGCTAAATAACCCATGGCACAAATGGATGTATTTCAGTTAAATCTCTGAAAGCTTTGCAGAAAACAATTTAGATACCTCAGCAAAAGAGGTAGCAATTCTTCCATGCCCTAAGCTAGCAATCTGCAAACCTGTAGCTCACAGATGGGCTGGCCAAAAATCATGTACAGCATTGCTCAGCACCTTCAGAGCTTCAAAACTGGAAACTGAGTCTGATGAGGGAAGTAAGAGTCTTGCACACTTCAGCCCTTAATGCTGTAGAACAGTGAAGACTGCAAACCTTCTGTACGCATTCTGCAAAAAACTTCAGCCTGATAAATATTTTCAGTTACTGCAACAGATCCCTTCGAAGGGTATGGGTTCAAATTAGAGGTTCTACCTTCCAGTTCAGAACTTTAAAAAAGTAATGAAAAAGAAAAAATATTATGACACTGGCAGCTTCACAAAGGAAGAATAATTAGAGGAGTTTGGACAGGTCAAAATAAGGGCAATTTGAGATTACAATGAGTACATGATACCCCTCTCAGGAACTGTGACACTTTTCATCCTCCGCTCTTCCTTCAGCCACTTGCCATGCACAAGACACTGGGTTGTTAAGAGGCATGCTCCACCTCTTGACAGTAGGAAGGATTCAGTTTCACGTTTATTCTGCCACCACTTCAAAATTATTCTACTCTTCCAGGTCGCCACTAGTAAACCACACGGTAATTCAAACTTGCTGCTTTACTTTTTCCAGAGATCTATGCTCACTATGCTTTCTCTTGCTCTCCTCATTCATCACTCAATTCTCCTCTTTAAATATTCTGTCCAATAACAGCAAATTTTTCATATAACATATGCCACTCAAACACTGGAATACTCTACCAACCCTTTCAAAAAATCACGAGCTCACTGAGCTGAGGAAAATAATGAAATTCAGGTCATTTTGTTTTGCCTCAGTAATTATCAGACTAAATCAAGTGACAAAATAAACTTCCTTAATAGACATTTTCACAGGGGAGGGGGGAAGTTTTGTTCTAACGGAATAATTTATTCTCCATCAGTGGATTCAGGTGATAAATCTGCTAACACAGGAATCAGTCATACTAGCCCAGAATACCCTCCTAGAACTATTCCAGGGTAGTAACCAGAAAAATAGGCTACTGCTCTATGAACATAGGACATACTTAATGCAAAATTTAAAGAGTTTATAAAGATAAAAATTATAATCTGTCACTTTTTGCTTTTGATAAATTTAATTTGGAGAGTACCAGGCTACTTAATTCACATTATATACTACCTCACAGTTCTGTCCCTCTTACTGCTGAGATAATCCCCTCCTTCTCCAGAGTTTTGTTTCTTTTTTTTTTTTATTCAGTTAGCATACTGGAAAGCCAAATATCATCCTGGAACATAGGTGCCAGGCACAGCAGTACACATATACATCCTTGACTGAAATACATATAAAAATTTTTCCTTCTGTACCCTACAGTGCAACAGCTTTTGTTACATAACCAACACCATAATAGAATATACATAAGATTAATACATTACATTAAATATACACCAAGTTCCTGTTAATTTGCTGTTACCAGCAACCATTCCCATATGTTTCCTAGACAACTCCCTTGTTTTTCTACCTCTCCTCTCGCTCTCCCCTTCAAATATTGTACTTTGACCTATTTCAGCTGATCCTGCTTCTCTAGTCTTTTCTCTCCCACACTGAAGTTCAGATTGTTTCATAAGCTCATTAAGCACATTTTCATCGTTACCCTCTTGCCCCAAGTGGACACTTTCTCTGTTATTTCTTGGCTGTTTCTACTTCGCCAGAGAATCAGTCTTGATTTACTCTGCCACAGAGCTTAAATGCCAAAGCAACAATAGCAGCATCAGTGCTCAGCTTCAGTTGCCAGAAGGGTAGTGCCTCCTTTGGTGTATCAAAAATGAAAATCGCATCAGGTTACAGAATCAGACAGAGAAGTTTTAAAGACATCATTATAAAAATTTCCTTTTTCTGCCATGAACCTGGGTTAAAACAGTGAAAAAGGCCAACCATTGGTGTTTGGCTGCTTCTGCAACCATACCTGCAGCCACAATTTTCATGCAGGCAATTGCAGCTCTGGACACAAATAGCAGGAGGAAAAAGTTCTTTCTCCCCTCTCAACATACCTCTGCACCCCACGAGGAATGCCCAACTTCTTGCCCAACAGTCTCTCACTACAGCAGTCCACAAGTCTCTTGAGGGTGTAGAGACACTCACGAAATGTGGAAAAGAAGGGATAATGACTAAGGATGCACAGAGAAGTCAGGGTGCTGTTCCGAGAGCGATGGCTGCCTTTGGCCAGACGCTTACTGCGCGGTGATCGATTCACATCAGGGGTAGATTCTGCACTTGGAGCCTGCAGTGAAGAACCACTCTCTGAACTCTCAGTGCCCACTTCCTCTTGGGGTGCTGATGCATCCCCAGATTTAGGGACCTTCTGTCCCTCCCGACCTCGATGTCCCCCCGTGCCTTCTCCCTTCTCCTTGGGTACTCGTTTCTGGAAGGAGCGGTAGAAGTTGACGCAGATTCCATAGCGGATTACACCTGTATCCTTGTCCGTGAGGGTGAAGACAAAGGAGGTGTCATCACGGAAGCTCATGCGCTTTTGCCGCACACTCAGACATCCTTCGGGCTGGCAGAAGAACACAACATCAGGCGGGAGAGGAAAGTCTGCGTGGTCTTCTAGAGGGTAACGTCGCAGCAGTTCAGGAGTCTGAGCAACACTATCACTGCTTGGGTGCCTGCAAAAGAAGCAAACAAAAAACCCATACATACTTGATTAATGCCCATAAAAATCTTTGTGAACTTCCCACTAACATGTCAGGAGCCCGTGGGCTCAGCTTCATCTTTGTTTCTTCTCTCCCCTACTATCCAGGGAAAGTGCAGCTTCTCAGTTGCCGTCCACAATGCTCAATCACTAGCACAAGGCAGTAAGGTCAAGTAAAGAAGTCTAAGTCTATACCATCATTATCAAGGCCCAGCAAGGAGCCTGTTCAAATTTGACTGAGAGAAGGACTGAGAAAAGGAGTATGCTGTTCCCAGGAGAACTTCATATTGTCATGTTTCCCTGACTCTGTAGCTGCACAGGTCTCTGGGCAATATTTTCATAGGAAATACACTGCCCCTCTCCAAATATCCAGTTAGAGGAAAAGCCTCTGGATTTCAGCCATTTATGAACAAGATGAAAAATTAAATGAGAAAATCCAGTATCACTTCCTAACTGGGACGACAAGAATTTACAAGGAAAGAACTCAGATGAATGGTAGAGTGATTTGGACCTCATCCTAAAAAATTTTCATTAAAAAGTCCTAGCAACAATAGCTATGTACTTCCAGCTTTGATTTTCAGCTTGGATTTAAGGTGTAAGTTACTATAAAAGCTGTGTGGTAACATGTGGACCTATTAACACTGTGGTTCACTAATCTTTGTACCACAAATGACCAACGGAACACAAAGACAGAAAGGCAGTACTGTTGTTTCCTAAGTTTCCACTAGAAGATCAGGTTCTTTCAAAATATTAACAATTTTCCTACCACTACTTTTCCATGAAAGTTACTGAATAACTGCCAGACATATAGAAGGAGATCCACATAATGAAGGAAGAAAAACTTGCCCCCAGAGCAACCTTTCTTTGGTTTGATCTCTTTGCTATAGTCTGATCTCTCATAATTTTCTAAAGTAATTAGTATTTAGTATCATGCTTACTAAATGGAAGGTAGGAGACCTGGCTCCATCATCACTCTCCTCTGGGATATGACACCAGACATTTTCTCATTTTGATACTTTAGATTTGCCTATTTCAAAATACAAATGACATTTGTTTTTCTCATATCATAAATGTGAAAAAAACCAAACTAGTAGTAATGGAATGTTCCTAATTTATAAAAGAAACTGGTGCAAATAGCTCTGCTGACTAATTCTCCCAAACTAATATTTTATTACAGAAAAAATAAAAATGCTTTCATAATGAAGCATAAATTCCTAACAAGATTTATACTGCCTATATAGTTAAGTACTGAAATACTGAATGAAAAGAAAAATCAAATGCTAAAAAGCTTTTATATGCTAGCAGACACAACTGATGCATCATCTGCTGAAGAACAGATATCAAATAATGCTGGTACAGTTTAGAGTCTATTTTGCAGTAAATGACAAAAAATGACAAATCAAAATGACCAAAAAATGACACCAATGAAGTACCAATGAATATAGCACCACAGTAATATTAGCTACAAGGACAGAGTCTTCTCAGACATTGAGAACATTTGCATCTAATAAAGTGGAGTAGTTCCAAAAGACATTGCTATTTGTGCACAGTGGATAAAAAGAGGTAACAGTAAAGGCCACATGGAGCTCCTGAGGACTTTGTAGTAGAATCTACTTCAGTCAGCTCCATCTCTTATCACAGGCATTTGCTGAAGTACCCAATGAGGAAACAGACCTCTGAGCAGTAGCAGTTTAGCTGCCATGGGCTGACAAAAAGCAAGAGAACTGTAGGAGTCCAGAAGTGATACTAGCAAATTTCTAAGTGAGAACATCAGACACTATAAATGTCACTGGAGGAGGCAACTAACATTTCTTCCTCCTTTTTCTAGTTGGTGACACATATAGAAAACTTGGTTATTTTCCTGCAGACACTAAGACGTAATTTAACTATGGAATTATTCTGTCCATAAAATGCAATAATAAAAATAACTATTTGTTAGGATTATGCCATTTCCTCCACTTACCCTATTTAAATATCACATTCAAAGCATTCTGAAAAGAAAGCAAGAAGTAAAGCAACAGGCTGATGCACATAAACCACTCATATTTAGAAATGAAAGCAAAATAGACTTTGGGATACAGCCATTAAAGAGACTCACAGAAAGCAGCTGCACAAACTTTGAATAAAGAAAAGTAACATTTACCGACAAACAGAACACCTATCAACTCCACATTTCATACATACTTTAAGTAAATAAGCATAAAATTTTATCTATTGATAGTCAATAAGACTTTAAAAAACCAAAAGCATTCATGTCATTCCTATGAGGATTAAATAAGTATTAGAGGGAGAAAGAGCCAAGTAAGGCAGGTTCCAGATTTATTTTTTTCAAGCTGAGTTTAGAGACTACACTTCAAAAGCTAGAAAAGTGGTAGTATTTTACTACTAGTATACTACTAGAAGTAAAATTAGTAGAAAACTAGTATTTTATTTGCATTTAGCTTTCAGTGTTTTCAATTTGTGAAACCCGCTGTCCTGATGCTAGTAAAAGCAAAGAGGTTCAGACGCACTGGCTACCAGAAAGTGATATATAAATTGGCTTTTCTTAGTCACCCTTCACAGGTCCTGGAAAAGAAGTCTAAGGACCACAAATTGAAAACCTTTGGCTGCACTAGTATCTAGTACGTGGCCCAAGTAGATGCTACCCTTAGGGTAGCATTCTGCACACATTTCAGACAGCACTTCCCCAGCACCAAGCAAGGCTTCATCAATGGATGTGAGGCTATTTATTCCCAAGCAAAAGCATTGCAGAGACTCTTTCACATTACCTGGCTCCAATGATCACAAGATAGTCCAGTAAGCGAGGGCAGATTCTCTTTTTCTGCACCATTGTCTTTGATGCCCTCCCTATGTCATCTCAGTGAATTTCTGTTCATCGATCCAGTGGTCAGTTATCCCGTCAGCCGTGATCAACTGCCTCGGGGAACAGAATCTGCTGGAAGCTATCTGGCAAATCTAATCTGTAATCATGAAAAGCAAGAGTGTCAAAAGCACAATCAGGAATATCAAATACACATAAACAACTCCATGGCCTTAATTACATTCCCAAAAAGCCTCAATGTTCTGTGCAGTCACAGCCATTCACAGAGCTCTATCTTCATGAGTATAAAGCCACAGCACATGCCCACAAAAACGGAGAGAGCTGAAAAACACACAAGAAAAGAACAAGACGACCTCGAGAATTACTGGTCGGAGTCTATTCCCACCTAAATGATTCTACAGTTCTGCTCTAAAGAAAAACATAGACAAACGAAGCAGCATCACTTGCAAAGAGCTCTTCACTAAGTGGCTTGTGTGCTGTTTAGGCAAATCCATGACATCCCTACAGTGCTTGAGAAAGGAGCTTCAGTAGGCAACACTGTACAGTTAAATATGACTGAAGAAAAAGACACAACCTGAACTTCAGCTGTGTGATAAAGAGAAGGGGTAACATCAAGAGAAGTCCAGTTTGACAAAATGCATCTCAACAAACCTGCAAGTGGCCTACAGCAAGAATGATCTCCACAATCCCCCATGACTGCAATCTCTGACACTTTTTCTGTGAAGGCATAGAACTGTAGTTCTACAGAAGTGTAGTTTGCAATAGCAGAAGTGCCTCTTGTAAATCAGACTGTTTCTTTTGCTTACTTTGTTCAAATCCACTTATCTTGTGTATCTTCACCACTTACTCTTGATACCCATGTCTCCTACAGCTGATTTCTCTCCACATTTTATAACAGAAAGATCTTCTTGGTACAACTGGTATTTTACTGCAGCATTACTACTTGTCAATAATTATGTTTAATAGATTTCCAGAACTCAGTAAGCACTGTAAAATCATTCTTTTCAATCCCACAATTTATACGTCACAGAATTCATGACAAAGGGGGAAAAAATTCTTAAAAAGTAATGCAGTTCCACATTACAGTGTTCCCTATCTGTGTTTGAAAGCAATCTGAAAACAGAATTTTTCTGAAATGGAAATTTCTCAGAAACTCTAAAAATCAGAGATACTCGAAGTATACTACAAGCTTACTGAGGAATCCAATGAAAGTATTAGTAGAGTTATTTTATACTCAAAAAATTTGAACTGATTGCCTTTTCAGGCATATTCAGAGTAAGGTTTCCATTTCAGTTTATGTTTCCATCCTAAGGCTATGACAGAATTCAGAAAATTATTACTGTTGTACTAAAATATTTCAGTTCTGCAGCATAAAGTTTATATTTTATTTGTATAAAAGTATAACAGATTTACTAACAACCTGTAAATCTCAGCAAAATCAGATTATTTTCTTGATGTTTCTCTCATTAATTCACAACCAAAAGATAGTTAAAAGCACTGTAACTGTCAGCATCTCAGAGTCACAGTCAAAGTCTAGCAATATATTTTCTTCCCAGCCCTTCACATTTGAGGAACAGAGTTGGGGAATTTTATTCACTAGCTTCCCAAATACCAGTAAGAATACAAACACACACATACAAAAAAAAGCAAGGATGTCACTTTTAAAAGGAAAATCATACTAGTCAGTAAGTGTTAATTAAGAAATAATAATCTGAAAGAAACTAACGCTCTCACACACACAAAACCCCACAGTTTGTAAAACTTTGCTGCACAGTTTTAGTAGATCCTCAATTACAGTCACTGTAGGCTCCTAAGTGACAGCACTATGAATTATCTTCTCTGAGCAGCAATACTGTTATAAATTATCTTCTCTGAACAACAGACAAAATACAGACACAGGAAGCAAAGTTCCTGTTTCTTCATTTTAATGACATTATTGAAAACACTGTAGAATTTGCCCTGGCAAAGCTTTTGACCCTTGATATTCTACAAATATCTTGGTGTAGATTAACTCAAGAGGAACAAGATGAAGTTGGGGTGATCAGGTGTACCTTTTAGTTTCCAATTTTTTTTTTTTTTCCAAACACCTTTACCCAGAACTCTTTAAGGAAGAAACTAATCAGTTGCAGATATAGGAACAGGAATAAGTTACCGTGATGTAACACAGAAGTATGACTTTGAGGAAATTCTGCTACTCAGTGGTAACCAAACACGTTCTTCCTCTACAACAGAGACTACCCTATCCGTCAATGAAGGTGGAGGAGATAAAACATATTTACAGTGGAGTAAAAACATGCATTGACTACAGAGTAACCGAGAGACTACAAGACCACAGCCTTAACTTACCTTTTAGTAACAGCATTAAAGAACATTGTATCAGTATTTGTTGGAACTCACCTTCCTAATCCCGGCTGGAATTGGACACCACAAATAATGATCTGTATAAAGCAACACAAACAGGCATCTAAGTCCTGCCTCCTGCCCCGTATCTGCCAACAGCTTGCTTTCAGGCCAGTATCATTCCCCTCCCTGTGCTGGTAGAAGTGTTCATGCAGCTACATGGCGACCCAGATTGTGGAATTGATATGGACTAAAACTAAAACCTTCTCTTCTCCTCCCTTGCCATTTTTTGGTTTTACTAGGTTGGGGTTTTTTTTGAGTTGGTTCACCAAGTGGCCCCACAAATGCTTGTGCGGGCACAAAAAAAAAAAAAAAGTAGGAGTAAGGAGTTAGGGGAATCTGGAAAACTTGATTGAATATAATAAAATCACAGAACTACAGACAGCATCTCTACAGGCAATACAGAGGTAAAGTAGTTTCTTTCTCAGAGATTTGCTATCATCTTTCCTCTGGATTATACAGACTAAGTACATTAGGACAGAAATAGATCGAAACAGATCAAACAACCAAGAGATACTTCAATTTCTCCTCTTTCATGTTGGCACTTGGACCTGAACTGAGATAATAACTAGACTCTGAGATGGTACAAGTTTCGACATATCAATGTCAAAACCTCTTCTCTCTCTCAAGCTGCTTTAGGGTTGCTTTTTCTGAAAAGGTTTCTGCGGTGTTTCTCTTTGCAGACGTATTGGAACCAGCCCTTTGAAGGTTGGATCCTCAAGCAGCACTTGAGAAGAGACTTTCTCTAACTTCAGCTCAAGAAAAGAAGAAAAGTAAAGAAGTGAAGGCCACCACAAAAACATACTGCACAAACAGATCACGTATCAGACAACACCATAATTGAAATAAGCACTTATATGGATGATGAACAGGTTGGTGAGAACTAACACTACCCACCTACTGCAGCAGCTGTCAGCAATACTCACGAACTACGAAAGGTTGGTAGAGCAGCCTAGACGTAAAGACAAAAGGCCAGAGCCATCATCAACTCACAGCCTACCAGTAACTCAGGATACAAAAGAAGCGTTCAAAACAACAAACATGTCTATTACTGGCACTACTTTGCATTTCAAAATTCCCAACAAAACACCTACGTTTTAGGTTGTAGCACAACTTCTTAGAGGATAATCTGTAAATTGTAAATCTGTAAATTCCAATTCTGGAATTTAAAGTCCTTCCAGAAATAAAAGTCTATATAAACACACACACTCATGAAAAGCAGCACACCACAGAACAGATATGGCAGCATGAAAGAACCACAGCAGACTTTTTATCAGTTTAGAGCCATCTGTGTCAGACCAATACCCCACATCAGTCCCAAGAGACATGAATCATGCAGCAACTCTGTTTCATCTATCCCTTAGAGCCTTCAACCTTTTCTAAGTATCTTTTCATTGTAGACACAAAGCTAGAGGAACAAAGTAATTTAGTCAAAGAATAACTTGAATACAACAAACTGTTAACACAACCTGGCTCACTGCATTTGCTCTGGCTGAGATAGAGTTCATTTTCCCTACAGCAGCTCTCTCAGAGCTGTGCTGTGTGTTGGTAGCTGGAAAGGTGTTGACACACCAGTGTCTTGGCTACCGCTGAGCAGCGCTCTCACAGCATCACGACTGTCTCTCCAACATTCCGCCCTCACCACTGGGGAGGTGACACTGCCAGGACAACTAACCCAAACCTAAAGCATATTCCATACCATATGACATCTGCTCAGCAATAACATCTAACAGAAAGGAGGAGAATCCATTATTTACAACATTTGTCTTCCAGAGCAACCACTAAGCCTGCTGAAGCTCTGCTTCCCAGGAAATGGCCAAGACATCACGTGGGAAGTAGAGAACAAACGTTTTCGGTTTTCGTTGCTTCCATGAACGTAACCGCTGCTTTATTAAACCGCCTTTATCTTGACTCACAAGGGTTTTTTCCATCTTATTTTCTCAACCCTGCCCTGCTGAGGAGGGCAGTGACAGAGTGGCTCAGTGGACAACTGGCATGCAGTCAGGGTCAACCCACCACACTCACAGTCGTTTTCGTCACACGGAAGCTTCCAGCTCTGACGGGCCTTACACTCAACTGTAGGACAGTCAGCAGGTATCCAGATCATTGCTTGCAAAAATGGTATGAAGACAACAGATTAATTTCCAATGGGCAGATGTTAAGTCCTGCTTTCCTTGCAACTCTTCCATACTTTGTGATGCTACTGGAAAGGCTTCTCCTTCCATTATCTCTCGCTTTTATCTGGTACAAGGATCATACTGCACAGTTTACCAGTGTGTGGATGCCTTTAGAATATAAATCAGCATTATACAATTCAATTTGCACACTGACTGAGTAAAGAACATACAGTGGGACATTAACTTCTCCATGAAGGAGACAGAACAAATTACAGGACAGAAGCCACATGAATTATGGTTCACTTTCACCTGGTGAAATACCAGATTTCCAGCCACGCCCAAAAGGAACAAATTTTTGGTTCTAAAATGTCCTTGGAACACCCTGAATTTCTGTTTACTCTCAGCCAAGACAGTCTGTACTTAGTTCAGATCTATAGCCACTATGCCTGACCTTAGTGCATTGTTTACTGTGAACTCAAGATCCATACCGATCGGACTAAACTGAAAGCTGAAACAAACACCAATAGGGACAGAAGTTTCAATGCCTGCTTTTGGGTTGATTTACGTTTCCTTTTCTCACATCACACACCTTTACCTATCTGTTAAGCTATGAGAAACATGTGCAAATGCCTCAGGACCACCCAACCTGCACACAGGAACTCTACTCAACTCACCATAGAAACTTGAATCAACACAGTCTGAAGCACAATATGAACTCTTCATGGTAGCTTTGACCTGTCTTTAGACATTTTAATAAACTTTATGGAGTCCTTACCACCGAAATTTTGGTTATTTCTTCTTCCAAGTCTGTTTCAAATGATCTCAGCCATTCTCTCTAGTAAAGCACATACTATTTTTGCTTGTACTGAGCTTTTAAAGAAGCAGACAAGCAGGTCTCTTTTCGCATGATCCATTTTCCATTTTCTCTGCATAACACCTATATTAACACTAAACACTGCTAATAGTTTTATACTTAAAAATATGCAACATTCTAGGCAGCTCATTATCCCTATTATCCAGATAATACAGTGCTTCTACTAACACAAGAAACACAGACACAAATGAGAACACCTCCCCTTCTCCAGAGCCTGACAGAACATGGAACAATTTCTAAAATCAGACCTGGATGGACTTGCTATACTGGTGCAGCTGCCTTATGTGTGTTACCATCCACCTTGGCAAGGCAGCAGTGCATGCCAACCCTGTGACTCTTAAAAAAAAGATACTAGTACGTTGGAAGGAAAAAAAAAAAAAAAAAGAAAAGAAAAAAAGAGAAATTTTCAAAGCAATGCAAGCATGTCTAAAACAGACAACGGCATATTTATCTAGTATGGTTAGTCTGTAATATAGGTGTGATTTTGCAAAATGCCTAGGGATAGTTCCAAGCATAAGAAATTACTCAGTAGAGAGCAGCGCTGCAGGCAGATTCTAAAAGCATCCTCCTTGGATCACATGCATCACTTCAATAAGTAAGAGTTCCTTATGGATAAAATGGCAGATGCATCCCAACTGTTTCTACTTTCCATCTATCCATAAAGCTTGAGGAACAGAATTAATAAGATTAAAGAAAATTAAAGAATTAATTGTGAAAACAGTTTTTGGTAATACAAGAAGACTTTGTTTGAAGTCCTTCTGAAATAGGACTACATAATATAATTAAATAATAATTTAAAGATTTCTTCCTACTACATAATATTATCTCTTTGCCTTCTGAAAGCAGTACTAACACAGCCAAGCATCTTTAGCCTCCACATCAGTTTTCCAAAGCAAAATGGAGGTAGCATGGGCAGGGATGCCAACAAACAGACTGAACATGACCAGAATGGGTTCACAAACAGAAGTATCATGCCATACAGAGAGGAACCTTTTTGCTGCATCACAGAGTGAAGCTGGACTGATTCAGGTTCTCAGTTGCTATAGTGACAGATTTCCCTGTCCCTGCCATATGCTGGCCCTTCAGCGTTGCTTCCTCTCACCTCCCTGCTTCAGCCAAATGCTTGGCTAAAGCAGCCTGCTGTACATGCAAGATCACGCAGTCACCACACATGCACATGCTGTGAAAACAGACCCACAGGTAATCTGATTCAGATCAATCACCATAGCAACCCAATCTTTTAGTCCCTAGATTTTAGCCTGTCGGGTATATTTATAGAGCAGCTGCAGTGCTCCACCCCCTCTGCTCCACCACCAAAGCTCCCAGCACTGCCCACGCTACAAACAAGCTTCACCCAGGCACATGGACTGCCTGGAGTCAACACTGAAACATATCCATCGTGGCACCTGCAGGCCCCCAAGCTAGATGACAGTGTAGTATTTGCAACACGCTAAATAAACGCCTCGCAGTCAGTAAGGTGTCCCATATCCATGAACACTAAAATATCAGAAGTTGTTATTACCCATGGAAAGCTAAGAACCAACCACAGCAGACAAGATCCACTTATCCAGGTGCCCACAGGATGCTTCCACAGACATGCACTGCAGCTGCTCCTTCAGTCTTACACAAAGAAGATGTGCAAAGTGTGCTAACACATAATCCTAACAGGATTGCTTCCAGCAGCCCCTGCTCCACAGAGGCAAGGCTGTACCTACCACTAGGTATCTGAAAAACACGCAGAAAAATCAAGACCGAGGCCTTGAATGAACAACAAGAGATAAGCACGTGAGAAAGAACAGTATGCAAATACTGTTACCCATTTTATTCTATTACACTCTTGGGAAAGAGCATCAACAATAAACTAATGTAGGAAAAGCATACACTTTTACAGTACTCCATTTCATAATAGAAAGGAGATGACAGATTTTAGCCTCAGCCTCAGCTCATTTCACACACTTCACTTTATGTTAAAGACCTCATCCTCCTCCCCTTCTTCACTGCCTGGAATATCCCTTTAATTATCCTCTCTGTGCAGGATCATTGTACA